CCTTTTCTTCAAAGAAAAGATTTAAATATTTCCCATAGACATTTCACTTATTATATTAAAACCTCTGAAAGAGAAATTCAACCCATTCCCTATCATCAAATTCGAAACCATGATATAGTACATATTAGACATAGCTATTGGTCTGCCATTACTCCAAAAGAACAAGCTTTTCTTTTCAAAAGACAAATCAATTTCTATATCATTTTCAAAGACGTCCTCAAAAAAGCCGGTCACCCTCAAGAGGAGATTCAATACTATAACAACCAAATCCAACAGCTTCGAGAGAAACTCAATAAAATTATTTGTTAATTTTGCAGGATCATGGATTCAAAAGCAGAAAACCCTAGACCAAAAACTCCTCAAGACTATGAGATGAGTATTACTCCTGTAACTCAAAATAGATTCCAATTATTGCAAGATTTTCTAGCATTGACTTATAATCAAGCTGCTCGTACTCCAATTTCTTCTCAAATAATACCCCTTCAACAAATTCCAAAAACCTCAGAAAAATCTAATGAAAATTGCTATTTCACAAAGCCATCTACTCAACATATCACTCTAACCAGATTTCAAGAAGTGCCTCTTTACAATGCATTTAATTCTTTTATTCAAAGACTTTTTCCTTCAAAATGTTTCTGGCAACCAGATGATCCATCAAAAAATTTGGATTATTATGAATTAATTCTCACTGATACTCAATATGTTGAGATTTTTCCTACTCTAGATAAAAAGAATCCAGAAACTATCAGCCATTCAAAATGCATTATAAAGAAAGTTTGTTCTCCTAATGAATGGACTTCTCTTTATTCAAAGAAATCTTTCTCAGTCAGATTCATTCCAGATGGATTTACTTATCAAGATTACAAAATGGCATGGTATCGTGCTTTTTTGTATAGACCATTCAATCATTCCTGGTTCTTCACATTAAAAAAAAGTTGCAGCAGAGAATTTCCAATTTGGTTCAACTATTGGTGGAAATGGTTTGGTGCTCAACCAGAAATTCTACCTCCAAACGTTCTCATGGAATTCCAAACCTATCTCAAAAAAGCAAGGGGGGAAGAATATACAAGGCCAATACTATTCCATATGGAATTCAAAGTACCGTGGATTTTTGCAGGAGTTTCAAAGTCTATCAAGAATTGGAAAAACCACTTCCAATGTCACTAGTCCGAGAATTCAAAATCAAATGGTGGATAGGATTCAACCAAGAATTTTGTGACCAGAATAATGTATTAAAATTCCCAGAGACTGGAGAAAAACTCAAATGGACTAATCCAAATCAACAATCTATCAAAGGAGTTAATTTCCCAACTACTCCATAGAAGAAAGAAAAAGAGAAAAGTTACTCAACAACAGAAACAACGGCAAATGATTTCTTAATGAAGAAGATGATGCAAAATCCGGAAATGCTCAAAGAATACCTAAATTATTTGTAAAATCAAGACAAGAAAGAAGAAGACAAAAAAGATGAGTCAGCTGGATCGTCATTAGAATCAACTTTTGATCCATTTGGTGGTCCCTGTGCTCAAGACCCAACTGACTTTTGATAAAGTTGTCGGCCAATTTAAAAAGGCCAATTTCAAGATAAGATAAGAATCTCAAAAGAACCAATCAAAAGAAGATAAGGTGTCAATAGAAAAGGCAAATGAAATTCAAATGAAAGTGTCGGCAATCAAATAAAGATGAAATTCAAAGACGAAAGTCTCTATAAATAGAACTCAAAATCAATGGTAGAGGCATCGAGTTTTTAGCCATCTTAAAATATTTCTGTAAACCTCTACTTTCTCAGCTTTTATATTTCTTTGTACACTTTCTCATTCAAGAAGTTCAATAACAATTCGAAGTTTGATTTCATCTCAAAAGCTCTGCTATTTAAAGTTTTCGTTGCAAAGACTACTCTGATTTTCAAGTAAGTTCTATTTAATTTTATGTCAATTTTATGCCTGGGTTGGTTCTGGTATCAGAGCCATACCGATGTTATATAGATACTACTAATTGTTTAGAATTATATCTTGTCTTAAATTTATAATTTATGCATTTATGCTAAATATCTCATTTATAAATTTATCTTAGTATTGGTAAGACTTAAAAGCTTTGTAAGCCGGTTGATAAGTCCAGGATAGGATGTTCCACGCCTAGGCTCGGTTGTTCCTGATAAGATAAAAGAGTAAATAAGATATTAAACATGGCTGCATTCCTTAGACAATTAAAGATAGGATCTAGTTCAAAACAACCAAGTATAGTTCAAAGTCATGAATATCATATGCGTGTAAATAATTCAGATTGGACTATTCCCGAAAAAAAAATAGAGCATATTTATAGAATAGGACCCTTAGATTTCAAAACAGTTTTATCAGTTAAAACACATGAAGAAACAATATCTATTCAAGAAGAATATCAATCAATTCCATTACTGAATCATAATACAATTCAAAAGTATCTAAGCAAAGGATATAGGTATATTCATATAGGCTTAATTCAAGTTGCGGTTAAACCCTTATTCCATTTAGGAGTGGATGCACCTATATATTTAGCTTTAAGAGACACTAGACTCAAAAGATATAAAACATCACTATTGTCTATGATTCAAACAAATGTATGCAATGGACCCATTTATTTTAATTGTGCTCCAAATTTTTTAGTAGATTTAACAGATCCACATGTTTTGAATTCGGTCATATTAGATATTCATTTACAAGGAGATGAATTTGAAAAACATACAAAGAATTTTGCTGTAATTTATAGAATGTATTACAGACCATTATCCTCACAGCTAAATCCTAAATTTATTATGACACCAACTTTAAAAGAAGAAACAACACTATTACAAGTTGATGCTGACAGACCTACTACCTATACTCCAAAAAGATTAAAATGGAATGAAATTACTATACCTAGTGAATTTATAATTCAGAATCCACAAGCACCAAGAAATATAGAACAAACAAATCCAGAAGATATAATAGAAGAACCTGATGGAAAAGTTTTGCTAAGATTTTCTTCATTTAGAGAAAAACCTTCCACTTCAAGTCATTCTTGGATACCAGCTAGAAGATCTAGTTATGAATCCATTGATACAAATTTTCCTGTAGAAAATACTTCAACATTCAAATTTAAAACTCCTGTTCCAGAAGTAATTAATCAAAATCAATCAGATTATTCTCCAACACACTCCCAGATGAAAGGAGAAATAAATGTAATAATTAAGGAATATAAAATAAATCATAAATATTTACAAGAAGACTTTGATGATGAAGAAACTACAGAAAAAAGAATTTGGTTTTCTCAATTATCTTCCGAATGTAAACAAAAATTAATATTAGAATGAAAAAATGAATTAGAAACAAGAAACTTTGATTTTCCTTTCTTTACTTGGTTGTCATTCTATATTTCAAAAATAGGAATAGACAATGTATATAATACTCCTCAAATAAATGTTCAAACTAATTTATATAAAAAATAAAAATTAAAAGACGATCAAGTAATAACGTCAATACATCCTCCATTACAAGAAGTAAAAATTAATATAGGACAAGGAGATATAATTGCATCCCCTTTCAAAAAAGGCAGAGAAGTTGAAGCAAGTAGTAGTAATAATAATGTAAATTTAGATGACATTAAAAAATTATATCAGCAAAATAATTGTACGAATCAAATTCTTCATACTATATCATAACATATAGAAGTAATAAGCACAAAGATAGATAGTATTCAGAAACCAGTAACAAAATTTCCTAATGATATTTCAGCACCTCATTTTCAACCTAGAACCTTAACTAGAGAAAGAGAACAAGAATTAATTCCTTAGTAGGAATAATTCCTTCTTTAATACAACTAGAATCTACTCCACTGTCTAATAAAGCTACATAAGTTTCTTTGAAATCTTCTACTATTATTGTGACTAAGGCATACCATTTTTGAAATGTTATTCTTTCTATTGTATTTAAATATTGTCTCTCATCTACTGGTTTTTCTGAAATAACTATTTCTTCTGTATTTAATGTTTTTAAAGTAGAAGGTTGATTTTGTGAGGACTCGAAAATTTTCTTATTTTCGTTATATATTACTGGTTTATGTAAATAGTTATTCACTCATTTTCTCTGAATTATTTAATTCGACTACATAAAATCCATTTATATGGAAAACACCTCTCTTATGTTTTTAAAGCGTTTTGTTAGAAAATTTACTTTTCAAAAACTCGTTTAGTTCGGAACAACGAGTATACGTTTTTCGAAACTATATTTGAATCGAGAGTATATTACTTTTGGAGAAGTAAGAATAATCAATAGTAGATTAAGAAAAGTTAACTTGAGATTTGAGGAGTTAAAACTCGACTCATGTGAGGACTCGCAAAAGTTATTATTTTTAAATTCCATTTCGAGCTTATTTAAATATTTAATTGCCCATTTACTCTGAATATTATTTTCTAGTCCATTTAGACCTAATTACATGAGTTTATAGCTTCGTTATAATTTTAAAGTGACAGGTTTCAAAATTTAATTTTTGGAAACTCGCGAAGTGAAAATAGCGAATACGCGATTGGAGTTAATAATCGATTCGAGGATATACTAAGTTTGAAAAATTAGAGACTTGTAGGATGGTCTTAAAATAGGTAATTTTATGTTTAAGTACTTAAGTGATAGTTATTAGTACTATCGTTATAAGAAATTCTTGGAAGTTTCGCTTTATCGCACTTAATTTGGAGATACGCGTTTTTATACGCGTGATTTAATTAAGAGACTTTAGACCCTCATTTTGGGATAATTAAGAGTGGGCAATATTTATATGAATATGAGTGCATTAAAGGTTTAGTGCACTAGTGAAATAAACTCGAGAGAAATCGAGCACGAAGTGCGCGTGTACGCGCACTATCCTTAGTTGATTTTTGGAGCATTATGGGCCACACATTATTAATCTTCTCATGGGTGCATCACACTAGATCATAACTCTTCAATTCATCATCCAAAATGGCGTACAACACTCTCATTTTCTTCTCCAAGACAGCCGGTCACCATCCCAAAGAAGAACAACTCAAGTTCTTCAATTTTCTTCACCTAAACTTGCTCCAAATCATCACCATTTCACTTCAAATTTCAACCACACTTAGCTCAACACTTGGAGATTTCATCTAGCTAAGAAAAGGAGCTGCTGTCCGAGGTTTTTCTTGAGCCAAGGAGAGCCGAAATTTCTGTCTTGAACATCAAAGCGAGTGAGTGACGATCAACCCTTCAATTCTTGTTTTATGGGAGTAGTAGTGCACATTTAAACTCATGCTTGCATATGGGTAGTTTGTTTTGATGAACAATTTGGTTGTGTGGGCTCTATGAACTCCCACCTTGGATATATGGACTGATTTGTGGTGTTTTGATGGTAATAATGTTTATTTAGTGCTTAAACTAGTGGATTAATGTTGGGTTATTGATGGAAACTCAAATGAGGTGCAATGGGAAAAAGTGACCATTTTGCCCCTGGTTTGTTCGACCACTTTCGTGCAAGATTTTGAGGTTCTAATGGCTCTTTTATGTTGTTTACATGTTATATTGGTTGTGTTAAAAGTTTCATTGAAAAATAACATGATTTGGTTACCCAAATGTCGGAAATTCGAAAGCTTGAAAATCTGGAATTTGAATCCCGTCACTGCCCCAGGCAGTCTTCTTGTTTCGGCCATAACTTGTTGCTCCGATGTCGAAATCGAGTGCCGTTTGCGGCATTGGAAACTAGACATTCCTAGCTTTCGGTTGGTATAAAATGCATATCCTGGTTCCACTTGAACTAGCCAAACCATTCATTTGAAATCCACTGTCCTGTTTCATTGCTTCCTGGAAGGAAGCTCATGAGCTGCAATTTGATGCTCACGAATGAGCTGGTTATGGACAGATTTTGAAAATGATTTCTTCTGAGAAAATATAGCCTTATGAGCCTATTTTCTAACTCCACCAACCACGCTCAATTCTGAGTTGAATTGAGTAATTTATGATCAAAATTCAAAACTGACTTTGTGAACGAAAGCAGTGTTTGGACAGATTTGAAACTAACTATGGTTTGGGACTTGTTATCCGAAGCCTCTTAGTGTAAATCATCTATCAAACGTACCTTGAATATATTTTGGACATTTCCTACTGGAATGAACCATGTGTGAGATGTTCTTTGACCAAATGTTTGCAAACGGCAAAATGGAAGTTCAAAGGCAGCTTAACCTTAGAATTTCTTGTGATTTCAACGGTTTTGTTAACCCACTTTCTGTGCTTATTTCTCCATGAAATTTGGTAGAGGAACAACCCTTATATGGTAGTATTATACTGCTAATTTTGGTGTTATTCCGAGGCCGTTTCATTGCTTAACTAAACTTCCAAAGTTCGTGACTTGATTTTGGAAAACCCTTGTTGAACAAGGAAATTTGGGTAACTTTGAGCTACCATATCTTGGTGTTCGAAACTTCAATTCTCATTCTATTTATTTTGTTTTAAACCTAGATTACAACTCTAATAGAGTTCCAAATTGCAGAGGCTAGCTTGAATTGTATGAATTTTGCCGAATTTTCAAACTTTGTCGAAAATCAACCCAAATCTGTCTTGACTTTCTAAAACAGCAAATTTGGGCTAAATTTCGAATATTTTCCAATTAGAATCATGGAAAAGTGTCTTCTAAGAACTTTTAGTACCTTGGAACTAGTTTCCAATGACACCAAGTTTTCCAATTTTGGACTTGTAAAGAATGAGATACGATTTTTCAAAGTATAGGTGACAAATCTGAAATTTCCGAACTTAAAGGAAATTGAGGGTTGCGAACTCTCTATTTTCCTTCGATATTGTTAAGCCGTTTTACACTTGATTTCAAAGATGAAAATCAGATTTCGCTTGTGTTTTAAAACCCCATTTTTGAGCCTTGATTTACTAGTAATTAAGGCTCATTTTCGTGAAATTTTCTTAGATTATACAAGTGTGCAATCTTCCTCGATAATTAGGGGTTTTAAGCGATAGTGTGTAATAGACAATTACCATTTGCTCAGGTGCTTAAGGAGACCTTCAAGAGGATCTCGAGAGGGAACACCTAAAGGCTCGTTTACGCACTTACTCCCTTATTTCGATTGGTGAGTGTCAAGTGCATGAACTTGATGTTAAGTGGATATCTGTTTCTTATCCGTTATGAAAATTTCAAATTTTGAGACGAGGGTGTACTTTACCGCACTCGTGCTCTTTCAAATGAAATTATATTCGAATTTTGCTATGTGAATTCATATCCGACTTGTACATGGTAATGTGGATGTGATTCGTATTTGTTTTGATTCGTATATGTGATCCGTATTTGTGATTCCTATTTGGAATCATCGATTTGAGCGTTGCTCGTCGACTTATATTCGTATTCGTATTCGTATTCGGGGGACGCCCAAACTCGTTGGTTAACTTTGCGAATCGAGCCAGCATGGGCTTGGTCGATAAGCTTAGCCAACCATGAGATATTCGTAGAGCATGATCTATTGGAGAGATCTTGCTCGGCATTACTCGTGCAGTATTGCCATGATATACTCGAGTATTATCAAAAACTTTGATGAGCGGGCCCGGTAAGGGGGTGTAATGGTGACGGGATTCGAAGAAAAGTGGTGTATCTACGGATTTGATACTTATGTGGTTGACGGAGTGTCAACGTGAGATGTGATCAAGATTTCGACTCGACTACGTGGAATTTAGCTCCTGAGAGCTATAGTATCCTTGAATTGTTTCTGTTTATTTTTTTTTCTATTCGAAATGTGAATTATTCGAACTTTATATCTTTACTTACTATGTAATTTGTGACTACTTGGATTATGTGTTTGCATGTGTGTTTCTTGGCCTCACTGAGTATTGGCTCATCCCATTAGTTTGTTTTCCTTAACAGGTTGGATTGAAAGATTTTGGAAAAGCCGACTAGATTATACTTTTGATTGGAATTTGGGCTGTAAATGTGTAGTCGACTTTTAATGGTTGTATTTTGGGACTTGATATATCTTTTGTGAACATGATGTAAGATTTGAATATTTAGTTAAGGAAGCGACTTTTCTTTATTTTGACTTGTAGTATTTGGTATGTATCGTTAAGTTCGATTTGAATTGTCTTGAGTCCTAGCGAGAGTTGGGCAGGCGTCCCGCGGATACCCTTGGGTTCGCCCTTGGGAGAAGTGGGGGCGTCACAGTTGGTATCAGAGCCATATGCCGACAGTTGGGACCCCTAGTCCTTCGTCTGGAAAAGCCCCGAGCCTCTCGTTCGTGAAGAGTCACGAAACGAAACTCTCCGTAGGGGATGCCCGCGTGCGGGTGGCAAGCTGATAGGTACCCCGTGATGTGACCCTGAGAACTGTCACAGATTTTCTATTAAAGTTATTTTTGCTTCTATTTCTAAATCTGTAGTTTTTAATTCTATATTTTCTTTTTGTAATTGTTTTACTTGACCTTTTAAAATATTAATCTCTGTTTGCAAATCTTTAGTAGTTTCTTTTTTCATATTGTTTATATTAGGATATTTGTCTAGTAATTTTGAAATGCTAAATGGTTCTATTATTTTTGGCATCTTTTCTTCTTGTATAATTAAACTTTTTAATCTTTCTAAATATTCTTTTCTAGCTAAAGGGTTTTCAATTTTTTCTATCATATCTAATAAAAATTCTTTATCTTCCTTTTGTGTGATTACATTTATATATCTCGGATTACAATTACAATCTTCTTCACTTTCTGAACTACTTACATCATTGTAATAATCATCTTCTGTACTTTGTTCCTTTTCATTTATTAATAGATTTATTAATTTATGCTTTATTTCTTCATCTTCTGCACAGATTTCATTTAATTTTTCTTTTAATTTACATTTATTTGCTTTATGTCCTACTTTCCCACATTTATAACAAACTACTTTCGTTTTACAGAATTTTCTGCTTTTCTTCTCTTCATAATTTTTATCTTTATTAGATTTTTTATATATTAAATATTTTTTATCCCTTTTACTTTTCTTTTTATATGCTGATGGTGATTTAATTCTTTTTATACCAAATGTTTCACAAAATGATCCTACTTCTTTTGTTTTTGATCCATACTTAATTTGAAGTTTTAATTCTGAACATAATATTAATCCTTCTTTTTTTCACAAAAGCAAATAATTGTCCAAAAGTAATATTTTCGAATGAAATAACATCTGTTCCCATTTCCTTTTGTAAATTATCCATTATCTTTTGTGAAAATAAACTTGGTAATCCTATAATAAATCTTTCTTTCCAAAATGAAGCATTGCAATCTGGTCTTCTTAATACATTAGTTAAAAACATATTTTTATACCATCTAAAATCTGACAAAGTTGGGCATCTTAAATTTGTTAAAAATATTTTATTAGCATTTAATTCTTCCTTTGGATTTCCTATAAAATACATTACTATTGTTACAATTAAGAATTCTGCAGCATCTGATTGAACTTGAATGTTTCCTTGATCATCTTCAATTTCTTGAGTATGGTCTAATATTGATAATTTATCTTGAAGTGTTAAAGTGTTATCCCACCAATTTTTTAATTATCCTGTGAATCCTGATACTAATAAGGTTGCTACATTTCTTTCTTGAATATTTTTAAGCTTATAAGCTAGCCTAGCCATTCCCATTTCTTGTAAAGTGTTTAATACTTCATATTCTGCTCTTCCATCTATATTCGATTCACAAATTGAATCTCCATCATATTTAGTAGTATGAAATTTTGATCTTTCCTCATATTGAATATCTGGAGGACTTGGTCTTGGATAATAATTTCTAATACTTACCATTTGCCAATCTTTTTTATTATTTCTAAAAGGTTTTCTTCTTCTTATTTTATTTATTTGATTATTTCCTTCTTCTTTAAATTGATCTTCTATTGATGAAATTACATCTTCATTGCTTTCTGATTTACTTGATTCTTCTGATGATATTTCTTTATTTTTTACACTATCTAAAGTATTTACTCCAGAAGTTTGAGTTTGACCTTCTGTTGTTAGACTTTGCAATGTTTGAGATATTCTATTTAATATATTATCAGTATTATTTATTATTTGAGTATTGACACTTTGAATTAATTTTTGTTCTCTTTCTCTAGTTAAGCTTCTAGGTTGAAAATGAGGTGCTGAAATATCATTAGGAAATTTTGTTACTGATTTCTGAATACTATCTATCTTTGTACTTATTACTTCTATATGTTGTGATATAGTATGAAGAATTTGATTCATACAATTATTTTGCTGATATAATTTTTTAATGTCATCTAAATTTACATTATTATTACTACTACTTGCTTCAACTTCTCTGCCTTTTTTGAAAGGGAATGCAATTATATCTCCTTGTCCTATATTAATTTTTACTTCTTGTAATGGAGGATGTATTGACGTTATTACTTGATCGTCTTTTAATTTCTATTTTTTATATAAATTAGTTTGAACATTTATTTGAGGAGTATTATATACATTGTCTATTCCTATTTTTGAAATATAGAATGATAACCAAATAAAGAAAGGAAAATCAAACTTTCTTGTTTCTAATTCATTTTTCCATTCTAATATTAATTTTTCTTTACATTTAGAAGATAATTGAGAAAACCAAATTCTTTTTTCTGTATTTTCTTCATCATCAAAGTCTTCTTGTAAATATTTATGATTTATTTTATATTCCTTAATTATTACATTTATTTCTCCTTTCATCTGGGAGTGTGTTGGAGAATAATCTGATTGATTTTGATTAATTACTTCTGGAACAGGAGTTTTAAATTTGAATGTTGAAGTACTTTCTACAAGAAAATTTGCATCAATGGATTCATAACTAGATCTTCTAGCTGGTATCCAAGAATGACTTGGAGTGGAAGGTCTTTCTCTAAATGAAGAAAATCATAGCAAAACTTTTCCATCAGGTTCTTCTATTATATCTTCTGGATTTGTTTATTCTATACTTCTTGGTGCTTGTGGATTTTGAATTATAAATTCACTAGATATAGTAATTTCATTCCATTTTAATCTTTTTGGAGTATAGGTAGTAGGTCTGTCAGCATCAACTTGTAATAGTGTTGTTTCTTCTTTTAAAGTTGGTGTCATAATAAATTTAGGATTTAGCTGTGAGGATAATGGTCTGTAATACATTCTATAAATTACAGCAAAATTCTTTGTATGTTTTTCAAATTCATCTCCTCCTAAATGAATATCTAATATGACTGAATTCAAAACATGTGGATCTGTTAAATCTACTGAAAAATTTGGAGCACAATTAAAATAAATGGGTCCATTGCATACATTTGTTTGAATCATAGACAAAAGCAATATTTTATATCTTTTGAGTCTAGTGTCTCTTAAAGCTAAATATATAGGTGCATCCACTCTGTAGACACCAAATTTGTGATTTTTAACTTTATTTGTTTAATTAATTTAATTTTGCTTTATTGGTTTCAATTCTAGAGTTTCTATTTTTATTTTATTTTATTTTTTTCTTGTTCATTTTATTTTATTATCTATTTATTTTTGCCTTCATACTAATTTTCAAAAAAAAAAAAAAGAGGAAAATGAAAAATACAAAAATACAAAACAATGTGGAATAGGTGGAAGTGTGCATGTTGAACAAGTGTACAAAACAATTATGAGACAAGTGGTTAAGGAATTTGAGGGACAAGTGTCCCTTTGTTTAATTGACAACACAACATTTAGGGGGACACTTGTTTAGCTTAGAAGGGTTTTGAAAAAAAAAAGAAAAAAGAGGCCACGGGTCGGAGGAGCAAAAAGGGACGAATGAAAATTGAAAGGGAGGCGGCGGACCGACGGAAAAACAGGGGAAGGAGCTTCGGCCAAAGCAAAGACAAGAGCTGCGGCTGAGAGGGAAAACAGAGGAAAAAAAACGAGCTAGAGAGAACTGAAAACAGAAAGGAAAAAGCTGTGAGAGGATTGAGGGAGAATCGTAAGTGACGGCAAAACAAAAAAAGAAAACCAGGAAGAAAGTGATAGAGAGAGGCTCTCGGTTGGAAAAAAGAGAGAACAAAAAGAAAAAACAAAGCAAGAGGGCGGCTAGGTTGAGAAGAGAGGAGGGAGTTTCGTCGGCAAAAAGAAAAACCACGGAGCAGCTGGAAAGGAAAGAATGGAGGGGCCGACTGAAAGGAAGAAAAACAGAGGCAGAGGAGAGCAAGAACCGGAATCACCATTGCCAAATTGATCACCACCTCAACCGCTGCCACCACTCTCTCGTCACCTTCTGTCCTCAAAATTCCCTCCAATTTCCCTAAACAACTCCTCCATAAAACCCCTCATTTCCCATTCCGTTCTTCCCTTTTTCCAACAAAAGCTCTCTCTGCCACCGCCCTGGAACACACACAGTTCCACGATACAAAGTGTTTCAATGGCAACGTCATTTGAAGACGACTCAACGGGTCAACCCAAGGACGATTCCCTCAAATCCACAGCTCCTGCCCGCACCGAACCTGACAAAGACAACGACAACGACAACGATATCCAGGAAGAGGGCGATGACGGGGAAAAATGAGAAGAATCGCGACTGAGAAAGGGAAACAGAGCAAAGAAGACAACCGGAACCGCTGCCATCCCGTCGGAATCTGCCGTCGCTGTCGCTCGGGCCAAAGCATTGTAAGTTGACCTTATTTTGCTGTTTTTTTTCCCTTCTTTGAATTCCAATTCCTCCCCAAGCTTTGAGCATGTCTGCTGTGGCTGTGTTCTTGCAATGGTCCCGCCGATTGTTCAAGACTTTTTTAGCATGCGTATGTTTTATGTATTGATTGGACTATAATTTCTTCTTGTTATGATAGTTTTGGGCCGGTTGTAACATGAATTGAACAGAGATTTGTTGGAATTTTTTCATGCCCATTCGTTGTTTGTTAAAATGCCTGATTGAAATTTCTGATTCAAAGATGTTTGTCTGTATTTCCGTGTGAGGAAACTGGTCAAGTCGCCCAATTCCTTTTCTCACGTTTGAGAATTTTCAATGCTTTGCTGCCCTATAATTTCTGCTATTCCTTTCGTTTCCATCGTATGAATTTGAATTAAGGTTGGGAGGGGAAATTCTTACGGGTGTCATTGTCTCGATTACGAATGATTGGAATTGAAGCTAATTTTTGATGTTGCCGATCGAAAGAAAGTTGAAATGTTAATGGTGCTTGGACCGTTTGGGGAAGACGATTATTTGACTAGATTTATAATTTTAGCCCCGAAGTTTGCCCTTTCTCTGTGATTTATTCCCCAAAGTTTTAAGACTTTATAATTGGACCCCAAATCTTTCATAATTCTTTCAATCAAGTCCCTGTTGTTATTGCATTGGAACCCCTCAAGTCACCCCTTTGTTCTGATATGACCTGGAAAATTGGAAAAAGTGAACTCGTTTCTTCCTTTTAAATCTTAATCATCTTTTAATATGCATAAGTAGTCTTTTAGATTGATTATTCCTTGTCTTTTAAATCATAATTGTGGCTTGATAATTTTTTTTTTTTTGGGGATTTTATTATGTTGGGTTTAATCAAACAAGTGATTTGGGTTAAGAGGTTATGTGGTGTTTGGGTCTAAGAAAGTGGTTTACTTTATTTTTGTTTGGGTTTTTGGCTTGGGCCAGAAGATCAAGGCCCATTTGTTTGGTTGGCTAATTTTGGGCCAAAATAGTGGACTGGCTCATTCCTTTTGCTTTAAGTTTTGACTGGGCTAGGAGGGTCTCAGGCCCAAACCAATAAGAAATGACCCCATGGCCTGGTCCATTAAGAAACCAGAGAATGTATTTGCAGATCAGTCCCTGTACTTTTCTTTAATTTCATTGTGGCCCTGGATATTTTCAACTACTTTCAATTTGGTCCTTACTTTAATTGCAAATAAGTCCTTGAACTTTATTTTTCTTTAATTTTGGCCCCAAAATTTTGCCAATCTTTGCAATCAAGTCCTTTCTTCTCTTGACTTCTTAAATGTGGGTTGTTGACATGATTTAATTGATTCAAATTCATGTTTATTTTTACCCTTTGTGATTATTTGTCAAATAAATTGGTGCCTTGACCCTTTTTATTGTTTTGAAGCTAATATCTCATTTACTCGATTTCCATTGCAAGGGAGGTAACTTCTATATTCTTGAGTTATTTTTCCTACGTGCTCCTACGTGTTATGTGAATATACATGTCTACTTTGCTTTCCTAGCCTTTCTTTAATTTCTTTTATTTATGTCATTTACTTCTGCTTTTTATTTAAGTTATTCTTTATGGGGTATGTGTATACCTCTTGGCTTGTAATAGTTAGGGATTTAATTATTTTATTCCTTTTCCCCCTTTTAGATTGTAGTAGGGTCTCCCTAATGTAATAGATAGGGTTTGGAGGAGCATTCAATGTAGACCTATCGAAATCATGTGCCTAGCTAGCAAATGTAATAGTTAGGGCTTTAATAATCTTATGTGTTTTGCATGCTTAGTTTCTACGTGTTAATTTGCTTTGTTAGGGCCTTGCATCTAGTCGAGCATGCTAAGTGTTATGTGCTATGTGATTGACATGTCTACTCGCTTTCCATAGCCTGAATAAATGTGATGGATGAATGTACGTTTCCGCTAGTCCAACGCTAGTCGGAATTCATAGAATGGGCTAGTCCAACGCTAGACCCTTAGGGATTTCCCCTCGTTAGTACATGTTTGCATGTTCATTACATGTCATGCATTCTTTTTAGTTTTATCATTTTACATGCCCCTCGAACCCCTTTTCCCTCCATTTTAGGATTTTTGCATTTCATGCTAGTTATAGGGTTCATTTGCTTGAGAGTCCCCTTAAATATGGGATATAGACGAGTGTGGCTTTTTCTAAGCCTTAGCACGCTTGTATTCCCTCTATAAAAAGGGCAAATTGAGTCACGATTTAGGTCTCCCCGTACCCAATATGCATGAATTCCCTAGGCTCATGCATTTTTTAAATCCACTCTACCATTTTATACCCTCATTACACTTTCATTTTTCCTCCCATTTTGCACACGTGCACCTTTATGTTTCTTCACTTGCACACGAACACTTTTATCATCACTTGCACACATGCACTTCATATTATCATTTCACATACCGTACCTTGCCCACTCACGAGCACATTTTCATTTACATATTTATTGTCTTTTATTACTTTTTCAAACTCATGTCCTCACATTGCATACATGCATTCCATTCATTTGCATCCCACTCGCATTATTCGTGACTTCTTCAAAGGATCGTTATTGGGTTTCACAATTAATGTGATTGGCACCACTCAACCTTTGAAGAGAAATTTCCCCAATACTCCTAGGTCTAGGGTTTGCATTCATGTAGTACATCCAAATGTAATAAATTCTTTGATTAAAACAAGAAAATCTTTGATTAAATCAACGCAACTAGCCTTGGCTAGGTCGAAGGGGTGCCTTGGATTTTTATCCTTGCCTTCCCCTTCGTCAAATGTGACTCCCGAACCTTTCTCATTGGTTTACGTGGACTAGGAGTCGTTTAAAAGGGGTTTCTTACAACTTTTTCCTAAAAAATTCATTTTTAGGTGACTTGGTACACCTTAACTCATTACCAAGTGGCGACTCCCATTTTTTCAAAAAACCATTTTTAAACTATAATTTTGGGTCAAATCGTCGCATTTTCAAACCCCCATTTAGACCCATTTTTCTTTTAAATCACAATTCATTTTCCAATCACAAATTGAATCAAAAAATACTTTTTTAAACAATTTATTTATTTATCAAAAAAATGGGGCGCGACAGTTGGCGACTCCACTGGGGACGTTCGAGAGTCCGAGCAAATTTGATTTAATCAAACTTTTTTTTCTTTTAATCTTTTCATATATCACATTTGGATGTTTAGGATTGCATTTTTCCTTTTATTAGGATTTTTTGCATCTCACACCAACTCCCTCACTTACTCATTTGGCGTATGATTATTTTGATTGATGAATGGTTTATGTATGTAATTCCGCGCTTGACATTGCATTTGGGTGGGGGACACACCCTAGAGCCTCGCGTTAGTTCTTGATCCCTCCCCTCCAAACAAGCACTAGCATACGTGCATCCGTTTTATTTATTTTACCCCTCATTTATTTTTCTTTTAGTGGCTTGTCACGCCATTCCACCCTATTAGGATTAGGCGACCCATTTGGACATGTGATCACGACACGATGTGTGTGTAGCATGATCCAATGGGTCACTCAATCTTCCGCTTTAAGCTATGGGTTGATAGCCTTTAGCTTTTAGTCGAAAGTTGAGGATTTTGATAGATTCACTCAAACACGTAGCCGCGACACGATGTGTACGTAGCGGTGTTTGGGGAATCGCTCGAGCCACCGACAAAGAACCTTGGGATTGATGACCTTTGGTTTCTAAGTCTGAAGGCACGGGGACCTGAGCTTATCGAGTTTAGATGCATTAGCGAACCCCAACCTCATGCAACCATATTAAAATTGCCTAGGGTAGAGTCGGCCTTATCCTGAGTTAGGGACACTGTTCACGAGGGGAGGGGTCCAACCCCTTTCTCCCTTTTATTGTTTTATTTCTTTGTATTGATTTCGTTGCTACAATGTGTTATGTGTATTTATTCGGCTGAACTAACTTTTTCTTGGTTTTGTGTCCCCATTGCATTCACAAACCCTAGCAAATAAGAGGTCTGGCATGACCTTCTTTTAGAACCTACCCTTGTAGATAGGCTATTGCACGTTTAAGAAATTTTGGTATATTTTGTTCATGAATTAATAATGCCATGTCATTTTAGGCTTACCCTGGCAAATAAAGGGTTCCTTAGGTCACGTTTCATTTCGAATTGCATCTTTTCCTGCTTTGATAAAATGGCATCATGCATAAACCCTAAAAAGGGAATGCCATTTAGGGGATCCCGTGTTAGGGATAAGCCACCTTGTGTCTCGGATACTTAATCCAAAGAGACTTGCACGTTTACATTTTGTCCATCCGAAGGGGTAGTGCACAAGGTAAGGTAGGATCCGATCATTTTCATAGAGTGATCTTTGGAATATGAGCATCTAATAATCAC